GTGTAAAACTGGCACCGATGACACCGCCCCTCCAGAACGGCTCACGTCTGTGTCGGCTCTGCCAGAGCCAGGTCAGGGCTGGGATCTGCAGCCCGGGAAGACGAGGGATGGGTGAGCACCCAGCTGCCAGTCTCCTGCCTCTGCTGCTGTGCCTGCGGGAAGCAGCGTGGCCCATCGGGGTCCTGGCTCCTCTGGTGGGGTCCTCGCTGCAGCTCCTTGCCCGGCAGGTCCTCGGCACCCCTCTGCCAGCACTGTTTGATGGCTTTAGGATGGAGTATCCACCGAGGACACTGGGACACCATAGATGTCCGCCCTATCCTTGTGGGCACAGATCCCCAGGAAAATGTCTTTTTAGGGCCTGTCCCATGTACTGGGGACAGGGTCCTGTCACCTCTCCCAGACTGAAGGGGTGTTTCTCCTCTCTGTTGGGTATGTTGGCTGCACGGCTGCTCTGGAGCTCTGCGGAGCCACCAAAATGTGGTGTGGGTGCACTCGATTTGGACAGAACTTCTTGTAAATGCCCCACCTGGGTGAGGAGCAGCACACTGGGCAGTAGGCCACCATGGGGTCAAGCTCCGTGCCTCAGCTTAGTGAGAGGGATGATTTGTTTCTGCTCTGGGAGGGAAAACTCAGGCCGGTGGAATTTATTTCATGTCTCCCCACTCTATATAGGTCCTTGCCCACCCTTAAAATTTACCCTCCCTCTGCCTCCCTTCCCCACCAAAACTGTTGCCTCTTCTTTTTCCAGAGGATGCCCAGAAGGGCCTGGGGAGAGGAGGGCAGAAGCTCCCAGCAGCTGGAAGGCACCTGGGGAGGGAACGCCAAGTTCTCTGGAGCCACCTCTACCCTCGGACAGACCTCCAGGACATGCAGCTGGCCTGCCCTTCTCCAGCCTCGCTCACCCAGTGGCTTTTGTTAGGGTGACTGTACCTCCATTCTCCATCAGCTCTCCTCCTCGAGCCTCTCTCCATCCTTGGCCTCGGTGCTTGGCTTTTGAAAAGTGAGATATGTGGCTGTCTTCCCCCCCCGTGTCAGTCCTCACACGCAGGCAAGACAGTAGGCTTGTGTGTCTGACGCTTGGCCTCTCTCTGTAGTCATTTGGCACTAAAAATTATCTGCAGAGAAAAGTACTGGGCTCC